ATTTGTTTTGCATGCACACGTTGTCTTCAATTTAGACTTGTTTATATTTTTTCGTTTGGGCTTGTATTATATTTGCCTTCGGGTTTATATGATCCGTTCATCCTATTTTGACTCCTCAAAATTCAAGAGTCTATCCCAAATTGAGGTAAATTATGTGGCCTTCCAATAACCGTTTTGATTCCTAACATCACTGAAGAGACATTAATTGTCGAAATCCGGATATGGTGTACAAAAAATATGTGCACCTTTGTTTGCGGTATACCATCTTCGCCGCAAGTTTATTGTTTTCTGTTTGGTATTAAATTTAAAGTTAAGATCCATTTATTACACCTTGTGATCCGTTTATTTGGCAATCGCCAATGGCAGTCAGCAGGATTTAAGAACATTTGTTGTTCGACCTGTTAGTCAAATGCGTTTTGTTAAAATAGACTTTTTCACTTTTTTGGTCTTTTGGAAAATGTTGTTTGTGCTGTATTTAGACCCCTCTAACAAGAAATTTGTTTTGCATGCACACGTAAAAAAAATGGCGGTTTTTATCCAACGCAATCATAGGTTTGAACGTTGTTTTCAATTTAGACTTGTATATATATATATATATATATATATATATATATATAAACATAAAGTCAGTATATATTCAATATATATATATATATATATATATGTATGGAATATATATTTGCCTCACCTATCTAATTGTAGCAGCGGTTTCAAATATTATAGTTATTCCACCGGACAATTCTGAGATAAATCCAGTCGTAGTGCAATACAAATTTATTGACAGAAATTATGGCAACATTTCAAGCTGTAGCTTTAGAAAATATTGGCATTTTCAGACCAGAAACATGAATTAAAAGCTCTAAATGTTGTCTCGATTAAGATAAGCTTTGGGCTGAAGGAAAACCAGGAACTACACAGGTTAGAAAAATTGGTACCGTCAATGTTATTTATTCTTTAATCTACACGATGGATCCAGAAGAAGATGATATTTTTGCATCATTTGATTTGTCGGAGGACAATATAAAGAATTTTACAAAAGTGAAGGAGAAATTTGAAAAGTACTTTATGTTAAAAGGAGTGTAATTTTCGAACGAGCACATTTCGATTCTACTAAGGGAAGCCAGACGAATGTGAATGAGAATTTAATTCTGTTTCATCTTTATACACATTAACTGAATATTGTAGATACAACGATTTAAGACATGTAGTGAGATCGTTATCGATATTAAGGATTATAATCTGTCTTACAAAATACAGCTTGATCCGGATCTTACTCTTAAGAAAGTAACTGATACGGCTCTCCAATTAGAGACGTAGAAAAACAGCAGACTATAACGATGAATGACTACTCGAACACTCATGTTAACCTGTAAAACCAAAATTCCGTTGATTTAAATTTGTAATAAGAAACAGAGAACACCTTTCCAATTACAACAACAAAAGGCTTGCCTAAGATGCGGAATATCACTCCAGAGAAAATGCCTACCTAGAGGAGCAAAATTATACAAGTATTTAAATATCGGACACTGTGCCAAATGTTGCAAGACCGAAAAACAGTTGAATTACTCAGCGTTCATTCAGAGTCGGGAGGATTTCTGAAAACAATTGACAAATGATGGAAACTTCCATAAAACTGAGTGGTCCATGTATCACAAACTTATATGTTGTAGGAAAATGTCAGTGCATGCTTGAAATATAGGACACATTTAGTGTTCGTGATATAAATGTCGTTAACGGATTAAATAAACAACTACTAGGTAGGCCAGTTATTTCACTAGATACATTATTGATAATATTGATGTTTCGTCTGTCAACGCGAGTAGCAGAGCGAATAGTTTCTTTCATGGTAAGTATCCTAAGATATTGAAAGATCCAGGAAAAACGAAATGAACATACAGTATTCAGCTAGTTCTAGATGCGAATCTGTTCGTTTTATCAACATCGCCATGAGTACCGTCCCTCTATGTATTTTAAAAACCGTCAGTAAAATTCATGGTTCAAATTATAGAGGCGCCAGGAGGTAGGGTAAATACAGACAAAGTAAAAGCTATTCCCGGGACGGAAAAGCCAACTGACATATAAGGAGTAAGGCTTTTTGGGGGGAATGGTGAACTAATGGTAAACTAACTTAACAAATATTCATACAAGGTGACAAAGCGCTTGTGAGCTTGTGAGCTTCTTAAGACACTTAAAGCTTGGCATTGGGTAATAGCACAAGAAACTGTGTTAACAGAGATAAAACTAGCTTCGTCCGAACACTTGGACATAAGGATCCATAAAAAGGTCACTATAGTGTCAGCTGACGCGTCATCGTTTGGATCAGGCCCAGTCATTAGGCAAATACATTGAGAAATATTGTAGCTTGTTGCGTATGTTTCGCGCTCTATGTCAGATACAGAGCAGCGCTACGCACAAATAAAATGGGAACAGTGGCTTCGACCTGGGCGTTTGAAAAATTCAGCAATAATTTGATAGGTAAAAATTACATTCTCTTAACTGACCACAAGCCGATTGTACTGTTACATATCAGTAAAGGTATCATTACAGAACATTCTACACGAAAACAAATCTTCAGACGCGCCTTTCGAGGTTAGATTATACAATCGAGTACGTACCGAGGTTAAATTTTAAATGATATTTATCTAGATCACTAGTATACAACTCGAGTCGAATGAATTCGTGACCGAGACAAGAGAGTACATGTGAACAAAACATGAGGAACGAGTGCTGAAAGATGACATATACAATAACCTATGTTAATTGCAAAGAAGTGTAGACAGAAAAACAGTTTGAAACCGCACTGAAATCTAAATGGAGAGTTCACTTTCGTTGAATGGAGTAGTAGAACGCAGCGTCCAAACAGTTAAAATATCCGTAAAAAGGCGGACAATGAATACATTACTTTGCTTAAGATCGAACAAAGACGCTTGTAAATGGTTATAGTCCAGTAGAATTTTTGATAGGGTACACACTATGAACTTTTGTCCCAATCGCTGCGAAAAAACTCGCACCTAAATGACAAAACGTTCACGAGTTGTCGATCTAATCAATCTAAGCAACAAAAAAACATAATGACAGACAACATCGTACAGCACCATTTTCGAAGGTTAAAACTTATGATCGAATTAGAGGTAAAAGGTAATAATTAAAGCGCAATCAAATGAATCTCGTTCTTATATCATACAAATTGCCAGTCACAGTGTCGAAATTTGTAGACTCTTTTCTAATTTGCCTCAAAAACCAAAAAATACTAAACTTGTCTACAGTAAACATTTAAGTAAAGGAAACTCCGTCTTTCTTATCTAAGTGGTTTGTAGAACACATCTTACTAAATCAATCAATACTAAATATTCCCTTGGTAAAATTTAGTTGGTTTAAGTCAAGTACGCAAAGCTTAAGTGCAATACAAACAACTACGATAACGTCTACGATTATTCCTTGGTATAAGGTACTGTTGAGGAAACTTCAATTTTTGAAAATACATAACATCAGTCGAAAGTGTATAGTTTCGTAGAAATGAAAAGATTACAAGGGACACATGTGATTGATAAATAAAATAATTTTAAGCATTTTTTTCAGTCTTGATTTTTCAAAAATATACCATCAATAAGATGGTTGATTTGCTGCCACACAATTTTTAGTATTCAACATTAAGGGAATTGTGGTTTAAACATTGTGTCAAAGGTAGCTAAACATCCCACCTGTATGGCAGTCGTTTAAAGTTCCGTTATCTAGTTGATAGTAAACTGACAAAGACGCCGATTAATAAATGCATATGTTTGATGATGTTATCAGATGCTTAAGTTACAATATAGGTTCTTATTATATTCTTTTATCAGAAATTCTGGATGGCACTGTGGACAGACACGGAAAAAAATATCATAAAACGACTTCAACAACATGTACATTTTCTAAAGTAGGAAATTAATCATATTTTATTTGATTGATGCATATTTAGCATTGTGTTGTCAAATAATCTATGGCTTATTTGTACATCCGATTAACGAATGATTCCCATACATTTATTTATAAAAACATAAATACATATATATATTAATAAAATGTTAAATCAGGTCGTGTACAAATTCTTAAATTCATAAAAAAAACACAAAAATCAGGTAAGTAGATAGTAAAATATTATATATATATTTCGTTCAAACAGAAATTAAATACCCCAACAACAATGCAAACCTATTGATCTGTAAAAAACTGAAAGTGTGTTGAAATGTTACAAGGATTACATTGAAGAAAATAAATGATTCAAATTTGGACACTTGATACGTTGTCTCCTAAAGCTATTATCTTAATTTTTTTATAAAAATCTAGAATGTACGTGTTGTAACATTATGTGTAACAATATGCTGTAACTTATTCAAATTGTTTACCTGTTTAAAGGATTTCAATACTACTATTCCGCATCCTTCACCTCGTGCATATCCATCTGCATCTTTTGAAAATGTATGACTTTTTCCCGTTTTGGAAGTCATTCTTGCTTTACTTAATGCCATATAATTTATTGGTGTTATTACACTGTTAACGACACCACAAATTGCCATTGGACAATCTCCTAAAATGTTTACAAGACACAAGAAAAATTAAAAAAAAAATCAAATTATTACACAAATTTATTATTTAGTTGATATAAACTTGACTCTTAATTCCCTTTTTAAATATGTTATTATGACCTTAAAATCGTTACAAGACTTTCTTTCTCATTCAAATAATTGCTTAATCATGTATAAGAAAGTTTAAATAAACATATCTTCTTAGAACTATGCTCAATTAGCATCTTGTTCCAGATATATCCCTGAATATTTTGTCTGCACTGTATACTAAAAATGTTCAAACCTTTGTGTGTGTTTTTAATCAATTCATTTTACAATTGCTCAGATAACAAAACAGCCGAATATTGGGATGTTTGTTTATATTTCATATCAAATTTTATTGATAAATTGTATTTTTTTTTTTTATCAAAGATTAAATGCAATGTAAGCATATACCTGATCTTATAGCTTGACACCCGAGATGAATGGCTACTAATGCAGAAGAACATGCTGTGTCCACTGTCATTGAAGGACCCCTAATGTCGAAGAAATAGGACAGACGATTTGAAATGATGCTAGTTTGTGTCCCAGTTACAAGAAAATTGTTGAATTCGTGCGGTGCATCGTTAAGCCCTAATGATATATCTCTATTCATACACCCTGAAAGAAAAAAAATGTTTTAAGATTCCTCATGAATGAATAAGTCTTTTTAAGCGAAATATACGTCTGGATATCTTAATATTAAGCCTAGTATGAATTTGTTTTTACAACTGTTCAAAAATAATAAATATGAAGGTTTGACGAAGTTATTGATTACTAGAAAACTTAAACCTCAGACTGTATCTCAATATTATCCGTAAAAATAATAAGTCTTTTCATCAGGAAAACACGGGAAAATAAAAAAATAAATAAATGTTGCTCTATTTTAAAATGCTTACACCGATATGAAGTGATTACTAACTCCAAATTTATTTCTGCAGGTTTACACCCTTCGCAATTTAAAAAAAAAACATTTCAGAAGAGACCCTATTGCAATTTTGAGGATTAAAATGGTGATAATAGAATTATCTTCACAAAAATGCTTATATTTCATATGGGCATACATCCGATACAAACCGGTTCGGCTGGATCAGGGGAACAACTGACCATTTCTTATATTATTTTGGCCTCTTAAAGGGATTTTACTGCATTTATTTAGTTCATGAGAGATATAAATAACGTATGGAATTCTCCAGCACTACGATTGGACGATTCCTTACCAGACTAGCCGGATGGGACTGACTCGTGAACACCCTTGCGGAAAAGTTTATTGATTTCTTACAATGCTATATTCATAGAGACTCAAAATGGAGTAAACGCTTGTCTTCATACGAAAGATTTATATTTTCATGGTTATTATTAGACTTTTGCAATAAGAACATCCGGGAAAAGCTATGTCAGAGGAGTCCCTTTGAGTCATGTTTTTTTCTTAAGTCCAACAGGGAGATTGAATGTATTGGTTTCAGAAGAATAAAATAAAAAAAAACATTATATGTTTCTTCTTCCGCTTAAGATGTATTCAATGTTATCACAATCCTGCAGAAGACTATTTTTTGGGGGGACTATAACCTTCACATTATAATCATATCGTGTTATAGAATGTTACCTTACATGTAATTTTGCGGTAAATTTATTTCTATTCGTTACCTACTCGAGTGACGTACTTTAAAACAGTGGTGTTAGGAATGAGTTTAAAACACAAAAACTTTCAAAGTTGTTTGAGAGGTTTACATTATGAAACTGTTTTTTTAGTTTTAGCTCCAATTTTATTTACGTAACGTTCGTTTATTTTAAGTGAACAGCAGATTCTCGGACTTAATAATTTGCATACCATTAAAAGTGTATTTTAGACAGTGCGAATGATTTTTACTATTATGTGTTTACTTACCTACGCATTTAATAGTTCATTACGATTAGAAGCTCGGTCGTGCTTATCAAAAATGGAAAACGCATATTTAAGTCTGTCTGGTAAGTTATTTCTCTTATTCTTTATCAATTTAATGAATATTTTTTTCGAATCCAGCAACATAAAAATAACATGTGTAAAAATCATTATAAGTATCAATGTATCATGCGTATACATCATCAAAACACTCAACAGTGTTCAATCGCATCAATTTTATAAGATTTAATTTTATACTAAGACCTCCTATTCATAAAAACAGTCATACGTATAATGCATTTTATGTATCGATATCTCGAATTTTAATTTGTTGATATGTACTGTTGGTTAACATTAACGACTTAATGTTACTTCTTACGTAAAGTATTTTGATACGTGTCATCAATTTTCATCTTCATGAAATTGTATGCATGTCAAAATGTGATGTAAAAACATAAAAGACACAAAATTACTCTATTTTAAGGTAAAACAACTTTAGATTGAATAAAATTATATTTTCTAATTTTTATCGGATTGAAATATAATAAATTGTAACCTATATAAACGCCAGTGGTTGTTCCCTTTATTTGTTCTCTAGTGAAACCTCCGTCTTCTAAAGCTGAATAAGCAACTTCAAGGGCAAGACACTGCTGCGGGTCCATCCATCCTGCTTCAGAATCACTGATTCCAAAAAACTTGTTGTCCCATTTGTCATAACTAATAAAAGTAGGGACATGAATACAAAGACATATGCTAATATCAAACAACCTTTTTACTGTAAAATAGAGGTAAGAAGCATATTTGAAAAAGTTTTATGTGTCTTTAACATAGAGTAAATATTACAACTGACCAAAAAAATACAATTTTAAGATTTTATTTACAATTAGTATTAAGCATCAGATCGAAGTGTCTACTCCATTTTCAATTTAAGATATAATCTTTTCCTTGGAACCGGTGCAATTCTTAGAGTTAGGTATTTTCATTTGAAATTCCTCAATATTTGTTTTGCATTTGTAACTTATTTTTCTTTAAAATACTGCTGTCCCAAACCACCGCATCGGAATATAATTTGTACACCTTAAACACTTCTTAAAAGTTTGATCTCATTCTCTATTTACTTAAGAGTGTTACTTGTGAATGATAAATTGTCTACATTATAAAATAAATTGAAATAGGGTTCCGTTTAGACTGCTTTTACGGATTAAATTCTCATTTAGTTCATATAATGCAATATCAAAAAACACTTAAATGATTAAGAATTTATAAATTTTTAATTTAACGTTTTTAGAACAGAAAAAGAAGAACAAATTGGGAAAAACAACATTTTATAAACCTGATAAGAATATCTGAAGAATAAACAAATGCAGAGTCAACATATATACGTTAAATGATTTACAAGCAGATATTTTGACTTAGGGATTTATACGTAAATGTAAGTTTTGCAAAACTTTTGAAGACGAAAATTTATCCAAACGTGTTTCATATATCATTGTTCTTGATATCTTCCAGTAAAACAAACGGTCGCTAGCATACGTATCTACTATTATGTGTTTGAAAATATTTCTAGAGAAACCACTACTTGGATCATTCATAGCCAAAGAAAAGATTGTAAATTCCATAAGGTGATATAACCTACAGGTGTTTTATCAGAAGAGTTAATTCATGAAAGATAAATGTTATTCGTGTTTTAATCATATTGACTATAATGTATACATAAAAGTGTTTAAATGGTTATAAATTAAACTATACATACAAAATAAGAACAATCAATCAAATATTAATTTTTATTCGTACTTGAGTATGTACTGTCATGAACAATTTTCGATTATTGTACAATGTGTTATTCTAAATTACTAGTCCATTCCTGAATTCATATTGATGTTTACATCATATACAGACGTGCCATGTTATAATGTTGACATAAATTTTGGACCTGGAATAATGTCTTGATATCATGTAAGATACAATCTTACTTTCGGTACAATTTCATACCTGTACCAATGGTTTTAAAATACAGTTATTTGAATCACAATGTTTTGTTCCAATTACGCAAAAATGTAAGAATTGATCATGGCCTAATTTGGAATTGTACTCCTACTGATTGAAATCCCTACAAGAACCTGTACCAACCATTTAAAATTAAAACCGATTTAAATTTTTATGACACATGTTCAGGAATATTTAGGAAGCCACATATATATGACGAGTGGTTAAAAACATTCAAAACAAAACAGAAAGCGCTACGGACGCAACAAAATTATAAAGTGTTGTTTTCATTTTGTATAACCTTATCACTTAAACAATTAAACAAATTTATAAGCTTAACATTTTCAATCAAATAGCATATCCTAAATAGTTTAAATGCTGGACCATATAATGATAGTTGACAGATGAAACCTAGTGTAATAAGCTTTACCTGACTCGTTTCTGTGTAAAAGCTGGGAGGCCCAAAACTATAAAACCTACAGCGTCATATTTGTCCAAGTTAATTATTGTCATATCATTCAACATAACTGAAAACCTTGTTCAGATACAGGAATTACAAAGCCCATAAGCAAATTTAAAGTATCGTTGGTTGTATGCTTTTTCTGGTTTCTGGTTTCAGTAAAGTTATATTCACCATTGTTACTCATTTTTCAGTTTTTTGGACGTAAATATTCAAACCTCATATATTCAAAGCCATATAAGTTTTCTGCAATCTTCTAGTATCTTTTGTTTTGTTTTAATTCTATTGATTTTATTCTAAAAGTTACAACTTAAAATGCATTATGAGAAAGCTGTTAACCATTATGGTTAAAAATATTGAAAGATAAATTTTCTGAACTAGCTTAAAAAATGATTTCCAATGTTTCTTACTCTTTTATTAAGCCACTTTTAGAAGCATGATCCTTCCATTCATCATCCACGTCTGGAATTTCAATATGTTGGATATCCCATCTTTCCTTTGGAATGTCTTGTACATGATCTTCTCCGTTTTTAAGGACTTTCCAGAATTCATCTATGTCATCTGCGCCAGGAAATCTGCAGGCTATGCCTACTATTGCAATCTCTTCCATCTGTCAGGCTAGGAATTATTCTCAGTCTGATTTAAAGGCACATATCATCAATCAATACATTTTGTGCTGCATCGTTGGCTTATTTTTTTTTTTTTTTTTTTTTTTTTTTTTTAGGGTGATATTTTTGTAGTGTTTATAACAGTATTTACAAGCAAACATGTATTTCAACAACTTTCTTTCGAAACAAAGACTATTTGAATTTTTATTATTATTGACTCACCTTTATGTAACACATCGATAGAGCCATGGTCTGCAATATTAAAATATGTTTTGAGACCCTAATTATAATGCTTTTGATCGACGTATTTATATTCTACAACTCTACTTCCTGCATCAACGAAACATACTGTTTTAACCAATAGTGTATCTGATTTTTCTTATCATTTTAGCCTCTAAGGGTACCTTACGTCATATGTCTTTTGTTTGAAGGAAAAACATAACTGTCGTTTTACTCAACCAATAAGAAACTCACATCTGGATTTTTATTCAAACATGATACGTTATGTCTAATATCAGAAAGGATTACAGAACATGTTTTTGTTTAATATCTTTTATTGTTTAGTTGAATGCCTAAATGTTAATCATTTTCTTTTTGAATTATGCAATTTTATTAATTGAGATTTTTGCAAAGGCTGATATGTTTTTCTTTTTATGTAGACTACATATAAATTTAAATTTTGCTGAAAGAGAACGTTATGTATATATTTACATTCTTAGTTCCATATAAAACATAGTTCATCCTTATTTTGTAAGAAAAAAAGAATTCCATGCATTTTATTCATATAGCGTATATAATGGGAAATCATTTATAATTGAGACAAATAGATTGATTCATTAATTGATTGATTTGTGTTTAATGCCACTTTCAGCACTATTGTGTTATTTCGTAACGGTCAGCTTTTATTGGTGGAGGAAGCCGGAGTGCCCGGTGAGAACCATCGACCTTCGGTAGGAAAACTGACAATCCTAATCAATTAAGATTGGAGTCGAGCGCACCTGCCAAGTGCTGGATTCGAACTCACAACATCAGTGTTGGCAGGCTAGTGATACAGTAGTTCGACTATTTTTCTCTTGACTACATAGACCACTCGGCCACCGAGACCCCTGAAACAAATAGACATCATAATTGTATTATATATTTGTAGATCAACCTTTTTCTAGAAATAAAAAAAAATTGTCTATCTATTTTGGTTGTTTTGATGTTGATATGTTTGATTTTGAGTAATTTTCATTTCATAATTGTTTCCCTAGTAAAATGATATATAATTTAATATGTGATTACATCTAGATTTCTTGTATATTCAATTTAGAACATTACCTTAGAATCAAACATTTTAGTATAAAATTATACAGTCTATTAAACCATACAAATATCTTGGATTGCTGTGTACATAGTTGCGCAGTTGGACATGTTGGATGCTCAATTCAAAATAATTCTACCTACTTTAATAGAGCTTAAGCTAGGGTTGAAATCCATCAAGCAATGACAGATGAAGATATTTTTTTGTTTCTGTTCTTGTTAAGCGTACTTAATGCCCATTGAAGAAACTTTTACTCTCTAACGTACCGGGTGAATGTGGTTACACAAATACTCGTAGCTCTTATGGAAGTCGGTATCATACGTGTATTTCAAATCGTGCGCTGCAACATTAAACATTTTATAAAAAATGGACCAAAACATCAGTTTCGTCTAAAATCAACAACCAATATACCACATGGTCTTATTTTCATACTTATAAAGAAAGTCATCAACGACTTATATTCTTTTGACTGCAAATCTTGGTGCAAAAGAAAGAAATGTTATTATCATATTTTGGTTTATTTTTCAACAAATGCAGGACTCTTTGTTGAAAATCGTAATGACCTGAGTTATTTCAAAAATATGGATATTTTAGAAATTCTATTAGTAAATCAAATGAAAAATAACAACTGTAGTTTATGCAATCCTTTAACACATTTGTTTTTTAAACATTTATATTTGCTAGTACGTAGTTTTTAATTAAATGGGAATAAAAATCTGCATTTAATGTTGACACATATAGAAGATGGGTACTACCCAGATTAACAAGGAAGAACGATATGTTAATTTACAGTCAAGTGAATGTCAAATATTTTCTTAAGTTTTTTGTCTTGTTGATTAACGGTTATTTGGTATCTTTTATTAAAATTTCATGAAATACGTTTTATGAACAAGGTAAAGGATATGAAAACGACTCAAAATGCGGATGTTTCAGCTACCCAAAATGGGAGGCAATACAAAGAAAGTAATTATCAAGTCGAAAAAAGATTGCCAAACAATATATTATGTAATCTTTTGGCATCGCAGAGGTAAACATTCTTTTTAGTATAGGGTGACATGATTTTAATTCAGCAGGTTACATGTAAGTATTTTAGGCTTTCAACTGAGAAAATTCTTTGGTACAGTATAATATTGTTGATACAGTTTATATTGTTGAATATTTCGTTTTTTACAATCGTCATCTCGTTATATTAGAGTCTAATGGTTTTCTTTCATTGATTTGAATTGTATGCTTTTATATCAATTTAGTTAGTTCACTAATCGAAATTTTAAGGGGAACGTTTGGATGTTCAATCAATAAGTTTATCCCCGACGCATTTTCATGTGCCTGTCTCAAGTCAGGTACGTCGTCAGGTGTGTTAGTAGTTTTGTTATTTTGAGAATTCAGTGTTGATGACAGATCTTAGACAGTTTATGTTTAATTTAATTACAAATCTTATTTTACTCTGGACGATTTAGAGCTCGACAAATTGTATAAACACCTGTATGATGTTTGATGAAAGATTTATGTTACTTGTCTTTTTGACATTTACCCCTAATCTTTATTTCTTAATTTTTTTCCCAATCCGACAATAATTAGGAGGCCCTTCAATCCTTCAAACAATCAGTAGACCGTTTATTTTTCTATTTAGTTCAAAATTGAATAGAACATGACACTTATATTTATATATCAGACAAAATTATTTTGATTTTTTGGCGAAAAGCCGTTTCTTCCATTGTTAAAATTAGTTTAAATAGATACTACAAGGAAGATGGGGTTTTCCCATTTTGATATAATGTAAATTGCATTATATGTCAAACCTTTAAATAGATAAGCTTTAGGGTAATTGAAGATTAATATTATGATTAACTGATTTTGAACGAAATTTTTTTTTTATTTTTAAAATGTAAGATCGCATTTCACTACCTGATTTTGTATCGAACAAGGAAGTTTCGATAATGTAGGTCGTACAGTACTATTTGCTATTACATTTAAAATGTGTAATCCAAACTGACTTTGAATAGCATAGTGTTTTCTAATGATTTAAAACATATTATAAATGAGTTCATGAATCAGCATATTAACACACAGTGATGCCGAGGTCGTGCTACTTGATAACCCAAAAAATAATGTTTCCTTTATGTTATAAAAATATTAATAAAGATACAGTACTTCAAGGCAAATTAAAAAAATAGGAGTTCCATAGAAACAGATCAGAGAAACCAAAAAAAAAGCCACAAGTAAAGTTAACCCCAGATTGTCAGAGCTATGCACTGGAGAGACATATTCCTTAATTTAAAAAGATTAATAAAATATTTGAACAAAACATTTCAATAGAACAAACCCAAGTCCTGGTTTACAAGGCTGATGATACCAATGGGGACTAATAGTCAACCAGCAGAAGTATCGACCCAGTGAAAGTAATAATATTTATGGTACAAATTTAACTGCACCATTTTCAAATTAAGACAACGAATGTCTCTTCAGTGGTGATGGAGGCAAAATGTTTCGGAAACCTTAAATCTAATGAAATGGTTAAAAACACGGTGAAGAGTCGATAAAACCAAAATGGACAAAAGGTAAAGAAACTCCCGGACAATGATTCACAACTTTGAATCAGGAAGAAATGTTCCTTCATATAAAATTATTTAAAAATTGTAAAATAGCAACTTTCCATAAAACAATATCCGAATCGGTATTTTCAAGCCAGTATCGAAATACTTGCCAGTAGGCTGGTGATTTTCTCGGTATTGGAAAAGTATTGGATAATTTTTTTTTTTTTTTTTTTTATTTCCTTTGCTTTCATAGACTCGATTCAATCAAGTTAGACAATAGTGTATATCATAAATCAGTTGCATTGCAAATACACACTACTTTATAGATCAGTCTACTACCATCATATCTTATTCTTAAATCATATTGATTGCGAATTGAATTTCTATTCTTAACACGTGTTGCAGGATCTCAAAATTGACGACTTCGAATTGAAACTTCCGGCTATTTCCTCATTCATATATTATTTGGCTGGACACGTTTTTACAGTTGATCTGAACTTTACCAACAACACTTCTTTGTTAAATGTTCTACCTAAATGACCTAATATACTATTAAATATGAAAGCTTATGGATATTCTTTCCAAAGTGATTAAGGCTGTCAGATCGTTGATACAAATTAGAATAAAAAATCTAAATTAATCTATAAACACTCATCCTACATGTATTTTAAAAGACCCAAATATTGCTAAGGATCTGTCTTACCTCCATGACAAATAAATTGTTGTCTATGTAAATAAAGCCAAAAAACTTAGTTTTTGTATGTAAATCACATTTCATCAAATGATTGGTAACAGAATTAAGTATTGACAATTTGCTTCGAAAGTCAATACGTACTCCATTGACACTGACGAAAACTATTTACATTATGTTTATCAGCAGCCATTAACACTGATCTTGATAGTTGTTATGAAATTTCCTTCTATGGTGACGGTTTGAATAAGATGATGATACTAAACAATTCAAAAGATATGTTAGAGTACATATAATCTGTGGCTCCTTCCTCTAGAAACATGAAAAAAAATTACTTCTCTACACTTTACACTTTACCAATTATAAATTTATAAATGATTGAAAGAACTTTTCGAACTTTGTTTCAAAAAAAAGAATAGCCAACATCGATAGAAATATCCTGTTTTCAGAATTCTGCGTCATATTAGTAAACAAAATCAGTCGGCTAGTAGGAGTGCACAAAAATTCCCAATTGCACAGTCTGTTGAAATATCAAATCAATAATTTTAACAAATTTGTTGTCGATCAGAAATTTCAAATAATTCTAAGATATCATCCTCGATGTAATAGCGGTTAGAGTTAATGCCGTACTTCATCACAAAGTAATATTTTTCATGACCTAAAGCAAGGAATTTGTATTTAAGATTCTCATTATTGTACAAAAAGCTCTGTTTTATGAAACACTGTATTCAATCTTTCAATTCATTTGATCCGTTTCATTACCATTAAG